CTGCGGGGGGGCAGGGAATGACCAGGGCACCAGCCCTGGGTGCCAACTTGGGGAGGGGGGTGTGCAAAAATAGTAGCCATTGTGCTGCCAGCCTGGCCTGGCTAGTGCCCCATGTGCAGCCACTGCCCAGGGTACAGAACTGCACTGGTATGCCTCTGTTGCTCTGGTCCTTCTAAGTCCCTTTTCAAAGCCTTAGTGTTCCCTGCTATGAGGCACCTGCCACCCAGCTCAGTTGTAGTTCTAGGACAGCTGGAGCCATTAACCCTCTTGACCACTCTGGCAACAGTGGAAACACTTGCAAAGCACATGCCAACTGGGGATAAAAGAAGGATTTAGTTTCTTCCTGGGGAAAAAAGTGCTTCTGTTTTCCAACCCATGGGAATGGCCTGACAATTCATCCATATACTTGGCTGCAGAAGCAACCAAACACACGCTTGCTCCTGAATTCACACTAGCAAAACCTGTAGTCAGCCATCAATATTGCACATCAGCAAAAGCGCTTTCTTAACAGGGGGCTGCTTAATGTGAGAAGACAATCTTATGACTATCATTAAAGCATTATGCCAAAGCCAGCAAGTTACAGAACTAAGGGACGTCCCCCCAGTCCACTTCAGTTACATGCTGGCCCATGCTGCTGCAATCCCTTAAACTCCTTCCTCCATTTCACATGCCTCTGACTGTGACCCTGAAGTCCCTCCACTCTAAAGAGCTACCTAACGGAGAGAGCAGACGCTAGACGACAGGAGCTAAAGGTAAGTGCAAAAAATATTGCATCAAGAATAAAGAAGTCTAAGATTACTCTTCAGCCACAATTTCCACATTGAGTCTTAATGTTTTAAAATAATGTGGAGCATCAAGTCACAGCAAACAAGGAAATCTGGCTATAAACATGCATTTACAAAAATAAAGCACCAACCCACAACCATTTACTTTAAAAAGCGTTACAAATGACTGCCATGGGAAGCTATAGCTGATTGAGATTAGTGTAATTTAAAGTAAATTTTGCCCATTTTCAAGGAAAAGGAGCTGCTCTTTGCTAACTTACATAATTTAAAGTTACTGTAGCAAAAATATAGAATACCCCATACTCCCCAACCATGCGAGTCCCCATCTGTCCTACTGGTCACTACCAGATGTTTGCTTTGAAGTGAATATCCCTCTACACCTCTGTTCTCTAACTGGCTTATTAGAGGAACTCCTGCTGGAGACAGCAACAGCTCGGAAGCCACTAATATTTCTATTATGGCCTTGGAGAGGGAGTTTCTAAACTGCCTTCAACTATTTTCCTATATGTTTGTACAGTGCTTGGCACAATAGAGCCCCAATCCTTATGAGGCAGAGCCAAGAGACCACAATTAGAAACAGGCTGACCTAAATCCCTTTTTGTATTTGCAAAAAATAAGCTGGAGAGCCTTCATCTGCTCTTTACTTCATAGGGATCAGTAGATTAAAATTGGACTGTATCTAGCTCATAGGGTTTGCCTGAAACACCTCACCCTGCCAAGAGGCACCGACTGTAGATGAATGTGAGGTGAGTTGTGACTCACAAAGTTAAGTGGAACATTAATCCCACTACAGAAAGGGGAAATGGGAGAAGATCTGGAGCGTGGTCTGAGCAATGCATCAAGAGAAACCTTAAGAGAAGCGAAGCTAAGCCTGGGGAGAAGGTCTGAACAGAGCTCTGTCATGTTTTTAGTTTCTAGGGCAATAAAAGGAACTCTCTGAATCGGGTCATTTTGGACTCTAGGACTTGTGTCTACAAGCTGTTTGTGAAAGTCACCTCGTGACACAGACTGAGCACTATTCATTCCACAGCGAAGCGATACAGGACCATTCCATCATTCCTGTGAACTGGTTGGTACAGGACAAGATAAATGGGATGTCAAGGCCTTCCCTCCAGTCTGAGCATCTAAATAACTATCTTCTGTGAGCCAGAATCTCCAGCCTAAATCACAAGGGATACGCAGGCTGTTATTCCAAAAGGAAAGCACAGTGTTCAGAATACACTGCTGGTTATCTGTATGCAACAAAACCTTGGCGCTAACGGAAAGCAAATGGAACTGGCGTGGCCTCTACTAGGGGAGAAGACTAACAACAATTAACTCTGTACAGGTAGACCTCTGTACAAATGAGGCACTTTCAGTACCTTCCTTAGGACCCAATTACACTATAGACAGTCACTGTAGACAACACAGCTCCAAACTACAGGGCAAGGAGTACTGTTCCACAACCAGGTTACAACCCTTACTCAGGTGTACTGTTGAGGTAGATGGTTAATTCAGGAGTGCTGCAGGCTCAGAATATATACTACGGTCATCCTGTATTTAAGGTAGGTTAATAACCAGTTGCCCACTTCTGTACCTAATCACTTCATTAATGACCAGTCTTAGTGGCTAATAACTGATGTTCTGCTAAGCCACAAGAAAGCCAAAACATCTCTAGCTTTCTTCACCAGTGTCATCTCTCCCTTTTTCATAGTGCCAGAAGGATGTGTCAATAGCCAGTGGACCTCAAGAGGCCAGATGTCAGGTGCAAAAGCAACTTATTCTAATACATAAAAAGAACCAGCGAAGAACTTAAGTCATGATATTAAAGCCAATATGCCAGACACCAACCCTTCCTAATCTCATCTTCTGAGCATGTTTCCTCTTTTTGATCAGGCCAGTAAGCTATGTGAATGCAAAGCCATCTTTCAAGGTGGGTACATGTATGTTCTAGAGGGGCCATCTGTCCCAGCTAACTAGATAGCAGCAGCAGAACCAGGACAAATTATCCTCTACCATTTTCTAGACCTCAAGACCCGTTGGGAGAAGGTAGGGTAGACTGGCACCAAGATTTGATGGCTCCTTCACTTTGGTTCTCTCATGTGCCATTCATTACAGAATTTAAGGTGTGTTAAAAATGGAGCCTACACGCCTGGACTTTGACAGCTTCACTGTCACACTTCAAAGCAAAGATGACCGGGGAATTTAAAAACCTGGAGAAAACACCTTGTAGTCAATTAGGGATTGTTCTACTCATTGCGGTAGGACAAGTTAGCCACATCCTTTTGTCCAAGCCCACTGGTTCCCTACTGAAGTTGCAGTTTTACTCTGCTAGACACACTACTCAGACCCAAAGACTCAAATGAACACTTCCACTGCACAGCACAGCCAGTGATACAGCAATGGTGTAAGGATGGTTTCTGCAGACTAGAGTCAGAACTCAGACAATCCTTCCCACCTTCTCAAAAGGAAGGTGTGTCAATACCTCTTAACCTTGCATTCCCACGAAGTTGCTCAGATAAGGAGCACTACTGTGACCTGGCCAGATTATTTTAGCTCAATGCTCCAGAGAAAGGCATATCCCATCCCTGAATTCCTGCTTCGTTTTCCCTTGCAAGGGGTTCCCCCAAAGTCATTTTGGTGAATATAGCCTTTATTACATCTAAGGTCCTCAGATTTAAGAGGCAAGTATCACCAAGAAGTCAGGAGTCAGTTGCCTGAAGTATTAGCTGGCCCTTTGTAGTCAGACTGCACAGAATCTGGAGTAAGTCCTTGGTAAAGGTAAGCTGCTCAGATCTGTAAGAAATGATGCTTGGAAGCACTGGTCTAGGCTACTGATTCCAGGAGTTATATTTAGATCCCATACAATCATCTACATGCCCATAGAACCTCACTCAAAGCCACCGACAGCAAAGTTCATACAGCTGAGCTGTACTACATGCCTCTATGGCACCGTGCAAAAGAAATCACAACTGTGCTACTTGTGGAAATAGGAACAGTGCTCTCCTGAGATCATAGCTGACACACCTCACTGCTAGTTTCAAACATTTCAATCTACACCAGTACTGAGCTGCTCATGTCTTAGACAGTGTCCCCCAAACTATCAGCTGTGACACTTAACCAGTGGGGCTGCAAGCCCTATGGAAATTCAACTATAGCTCTCAGGGTTGGACTGGAAATGGGACAACAGGCTTGGAAGTGGGGTTGCTGGTGGGAAGGACTGAGAACCCCTGGTCTAGAACACGTGTGGCTGGGCTACCTTGGGTAAGGATTTCCTTATGTCAACACCCAGAGCACAGGAAGACACCAAGAAGCTTCCTGCCAGTTGTGACTTCAGCCACGATTCAAGGACAGCTCTCTAGACCTAAATAGCTAAGGGGACCATTTTCTAACAGAAATAGGTAGTCTGGGTCTTGAACACCAAGAACCCCAGAGGGAGTCAGCTGGAGCTGCAGATGACCATTTTGGCCTTCGAACATTGGCTCCCCAGTCTGCTAACGCACCTATTTCTGTGTACTCTAGATTGACTTTACCTCCTCAAACACTAGTTGCTTTCAGGAGCACTTGTAAACACAAGGGGCTCTGGCATTTGCCTTTGTATTCTTAGCAAACTGAACAGCTTGTGAGTGGCACTAAGAAGTATTCTGAGTGCATGTGGAATGCTGCTCAGGTGTGGGTAAGCAAGTGTATCATCATCTTGATTAATTCAGGTATATGGTGGGGTGGTGGCTGAAGAAACCAGGAAATGATTCAAAAGAGGAAAGCTTGTTTCTCCAAAAATATAAATAGTTGACTATTCTGGAGGAGAAAAATAAAGTGTAACAAAATGCTAATCGATAAAGCATTCTCATCCTTACCCACAGTCTCAAAGGTTTCCAAGTGACAAGTGCTAAGAGGTTCATTAACAATGATTCTCAAACCAGAAATATGGATGTAAGTAAAATGTTGAAGACCTCTTAGATTCCTCCCTTTGTCATGTAGGAAGCTGTAATACTTTGGTGCACAACTAGATTACAATTAATAATAAAATTAAATAAGAATAATGCTAAATGGATTAATATTGAAAGTGTTTGTATACAGTTAAAGACAGCTGGAATAAGCAAAATTCTGCTACTTTCTTAGAAAGCTTCTATTCTCCCCACCCCAGCATAAAAACATTTTTATTCATTGCAACCATTCCCTGTGCATAAA